AGCGCGTTTCTTACAAGCCTAAGGTTTTCGCGCGTTTACCTAACCCTAACCTTATCCAAAACTATACGCTTAATCTGCCACCCCCTGAAATATTTGACTGTTCAGTGACCTGTAGATTTCCCCTATTTGTGGTAGGCTAATAAGAAAGTTCCTACAGCCATTAAGAACTGAGGGTATTATTTTAGTTGTGTCCCCTAGATCCAAGTTTCGAGAACGCTGGTTTATCCACGAAACAACCAGGCAGGTGTGGAAACGCCAACAGCTCTCCGTAACATGTTAGACTTTCCCCATAGACTAGGTGCATCTTTTTGTGATCAGGGGACCGACTTACTTTACATCCACCTTTCCTTGGGGATGAATGTCTGCATCGATTTCTTTAGTACTTGTTTGTCACGAGGTGAGGTTATCATCTGGCAATCCTAGTTTCAGCTTCATAGCAAACAGGTCACCCCATAGTTGCTCCGCTCCCGTGCCAACGAAAAACGCACGTAGCTCACAGTGTCAAGCCATGCACTCAATTCAGAAGCTGGGCGACGAAAACATATCCTTCCAGTCTACAAAATGAAGGTTCTCATGTGTTGAGCTGGAAGTGCTTGGTGTTACTAAATGCATTTCCACGACTGAAAGTTGGAAAAACGTTCCCGACAAGATATGTATACATGCTGTGGGTATATTTACCCTTGACCCCGATCCCACCCTCCACATGGGGCAACCATGATATCCTGAGCTGGAAACGGGACATCCTACTAATATTTTGAGCTGGAAACGGGACATCCTACTAATATTTTGAGCTGGAAACGGGACATCCTACTAATATTTTGAGCTGGAAACTGGACATCCCAAGAATATTTTGAGCTGGAAACGGGACATCCTACTAATATTTTGAGCAGGAAACGGGACATGCCAAGCAAGTTCCCATTCCCTCTCCCATTTCCCGCGTTGTTTTCTAGGTCAGTATGGCCAAAGGGTTAATTGCTTTCCCAACAACGGCATCGAAACCCCATCCATTGTTGCCAAGGAAGAAACGATACTGGAAGAAAAAGTCACACTGAAGTGGGCAGGTCACTTACTGTCATAATATCATTCATATATTTGCAGTTCAGTTCATATGCATTTCACAATAACGTATTTTTGTACAGAGGCTAAACATGATACATCCTCTCGTTCTTTATGAAACCTAGAGAAAAGAACAATGCCAATTCAGGGTTTAGGGATACACATAGAGGAAAAAAAAATAACAGTAAAAGATTGTGACGATTACTGTATATTCAATTTTTTTTTAAAGGGATGAATAAATTATTGTTCGACAAAGATCAAAGAAACTGGATGCTTCAAAGAAAGCACCAGCGCATGTGCAAGTATAAATAATAAAATCATAAGGGCAAGGAAAATCTAGGATCCGTGTACAAATTCGTGGCGACCTGTTGCAGAGCAAGGTTGAAATAGCTAGGACATATTGAGAAAATGTCAGATGACATGGAGGTAAAAAATATATGCACAAGGGAGATAAATGGTCGAAGACCACGAGGCAGACCAAGAAGACAACGGAGAGATAATATCCAGAGAGATGCAAACACTGTTTTGTAGCACATACCCGATGTTAAGGTCAGTTTTAGGTTACTCTCTCCTTAAAAATATTAAGTTAAAAAATATTTAACTCTTCCTCGAAGACTAACAATAAATGCATTGGTGAGATAAAAATTATTGCTCCAGGATATTCAGTGCACCAAATCGGAATTGGCCACTGCAGCCGTGTAACAAATTGAGTGGAAACATTAAACGGTACAGCAATGATTTAATTGACAAAGAATTTCATTTCTGATCCAAATAAGTTAAGCCAGTAATATGTATGTTTTTTTACAGACGTTATAACTGTTTATATATATATATATATATATATATACACACACACACACACACATACACACACACATATATATATATATATATTAGGTTAGTTGCGCATCCTTTACAAAACGTTGCAGAACCAACCCCAGCAGCCCCTGACTGTTGTGTGGTTTTTCAAGGCAAATTTACGTCCAGTAGTTTGCCATTGCTATCTGGATACTACTGTCGAAACCCACGCAAGACCCATGGCCCGCAGCTGAGATCGAACCCATTGCATTACGAAGCGTTCGCATCGACTGTTGTGTGGTTTTTCAAGGCAAATTTACGTCCAGTAGTTTGCCACTGCTATCTGGATACCACTGTCGAAACCCACGCAAAGCCCATGGCCCGCAGCGGAGATCGAACCCATTGCATTACGAAGCGTTCGCATCGACTGTTGTGTGGTTTTTCAAGGCAAATTTACGTCCAGTAGTTTGCCATTGCTATCTGGATACCACTGTCGAAACCCACGCAAGGCCCATGGCCCGCAGCTGAGATCAAACTCATTGCATTACGAAGCGTTCGCAGCGACTTAGCCACAAAGCGGACATATTTATATATATATATATCCGACCTTTTGGTGCGATTTGGTACATCTTAAAATAGATTTGTTTCTACCCCCCCCCCCCCCCCCCCCCCACCCCCCCCCCCCCAAAAAAAAAAAAAAAATCGGCAGCTCGGGTAAGGGGCCAATTCACATTGTCTAGCGATGTTTATAAAACTATGCATTTAGCATCAGATGCCTAAATGTGTCACTGGAGTATAAAAGATTCTTTTGCCTCATATAGTGGTGCCTCGGAATTCGAACGCCACAAAACTCAACAGCTTGAAATCTGAACTAAATTTTCAACGAAAATTTTTTTCTGGGAACACAAATGCTGGAAATTGGAAAGCTGACAGGCGCCGATCACGCCAAAGAGATGACGATGCAAGAGCTTTAGCACCTTGCCCAGCAGCGAGAGAATGCAATTACAGAAACACATTTCCACAGTAGAAAAAAAAAACAAAAAAAAAAAAAAAAAAAAACAGGGGGGTGAGGGAGCTGGAAGAATTAGCACTGTTGAAATCCAAGATCTGTTGACCATGTTGTCGAAAACACAAGAAGTTGTTCAGATGTGGAGCTCCGATAGAGCCCTAGCCAGCAGGCGTGTTAACGTAATTAAAGATAACGTTATCAAACATTTTGGAAACATTAAACAGAGTCGTCAACACTAAAGGACTTTGGAACGCAGGTCAACAACTACTAGTGACCCCGAAAGCTTCAGAAGTGGTCAACGACTACTGTATGAAACATCAGAATGGATTCAAGTGGTTAACGACTACTGTCTGAAACACCAGTAAGGATTCAAGTGGTCAACGACTACTGTATGAAACACCAGAAAGGATTTAAGTGGTCATAGACTACTGTCTGAAACACCAGAAAAGATTCAAGTAATCAGCGACTACTGTCTAAAACACCAGAAAGGATTCAAGTGGTCAACCACTACTGTCTGAAACACCAGAAAGGATTCAAGTGGTTAACGACTACTGTCTGAAACACCAGAAAGAATTCAAGTGGTTAACGACTACTGTCTGAAACACCAGAAAGAATTCAAGTGGTTAACGACTACTGTCTGAAACACCAGAAAGAATTCAAGTGGTTAACGACTACTGTCTGAAACACCAGAAAGGATTCAAGTGGTTAACGACTACTGTTTGATTCACCAAAAAGGATTCAAGTGGTTAACGACAACTGTCTGAAACACCGAAAAGGATTCCTGGTGTTGCCATAGAAGGTGACTTTACTTCCAGACTATCATCTCCCTTACTGCCCCTTCCTCCTCCTACTTTTATGTCACCATTTTGATCCAGCCCCGGTAAAGGATGGGATTTTCTCACGTGGACTTTAGTAATTTCCCCTGGTCTCTGGGTAGTATGACCGGACGCCCGTGTAGATTGTTGTGTACGCCACAAAAATCCCTTACCGATTGGAAATCGAAAAAAGAAGCCTAACGGCGTTGTCTGGACATTTTGATTAAAAAATCTCCCCAAGGTATTTCAGGATACTAGCCGGTGCTAAGGAGTTCGTGCACTGCGCTGTAATTCTTTGGACTCAGGTTTAAGTTAGAAGTAGAACGGATCGCTTTTAGGTCAGTACCCTTGTGCTATGATGTTAGTCGGCTGTATAAACCAAATTAAATCTTTAAAAAAATGTATTTATGCATGTCCTAATATACGATCACATTGTGTATAGTTCAAATTTGAGATTGTTGACCCAGGTACAGATTAACTTTATTTCCAATATTTGCAGTGGGAAACAGTTTTTCGAATCTCGAACGATCTGGAATTCGAACGCCGTCTTGAAAAGGATTATATACGAATTCTAAGGTATCACTGTATAAGCAAACGAAAAAAAATGCAGACAGGGAGACAAATATTGGCAACCGGAAACTGAAAACTATTGTGACCACACGGGGAGTGATACTGCCGCTTCCAAAGGAAGAGAACGCCTTGCCATAGGAACAATAGCGGTCACTGTGGCTTTTGAATTTAATGGCATTTGGTGTCCCAGTGACCTGCCTCTACTTTTATGCGCGCCAATTAACACCCGTGGATTTGTTTCTCATTTTTTTTAATGGCCTCCAGAGACCATTACTAATTTATCTGTCCTCACAATCTTCTTCCTCCTCTTTTTCTTCTTCTTTTGCTTCTTCTTCTTCTTCTTCTTCTTCTGTTTCTTCTTCACGTCTACTTTTACTGCTTCCGATTTCGACGGAGAAATAAGCATCTGCTTTTGCTCTTCTGGTCTCCTTGGGCATGGATATGTTGTGCAATTATAGAGTTTCTGTGATGCCATCGTTCTCTCGTTGCTGGTGTACCTCGTGGTGTCTTGTTCTGGTGTACGTCTTGTATGGCATAGCGCCGTAAAGCATTCTCCCTAAATAGGCAAATCATTTTATTCGCTGTTCTTATATGTAATTAAGTTTTGGTTCTGTGCAGACTTTCTCTCTCACTATAAATTTATCTTCTCTGACCCCTGCAGTCTTTCTCAAACATATGATTTTCTTGATTACTAATTTCCCTCAAATTAGTAAAATTAAAACGAGATGTACTAAACAGAACGGCAAGAACAATCAAACAGTTGTCGCTGACGTCATAGTGTACTTGGTACTTTGTAATGCACTTTTGTGCCCGTACTTTTGACACGTCAACACGCTCAAACACGTACAACCCATCTCAGACAACGTGTTGCGAAACTGGGTACTCATAGCGATGTATGTGACAAAGTTTAAAGCAGTGTTCACCAGAGCTAGAAGATCGATGAAGTCACCAAGCAGCGCATACACGTTAGTGAAAAAGTCTTTCACAAATATACACAGCAGCACCAGGATTGACTGGGGCAACTCAGAGAGTATGTACAGGGCGATGATTGCTAAAAGCATGATGGTCGTGCGTCGGGTCTGGCTATTTCCGTTTCCGCCGGAAGAACTTTCGCCCTTGAGTCGTCTTGACCTTTTGTCGGTTTCTCTGAGTGTATGCAGAAGTAAACCCCCGAAAATGGAGATGAGCGTGCAGGGAATGATTTTTCCGGCTACAGGATAGATGAAGAAGGTGATTGTGTAGAGGGCGTTGCTATCTTTCTGGCCAAAGCTGGGCATGGTGAGGTGCCAGTGTACCCGGCCGGTTTCGTTGTAGAAGCACGGGACCAGCCCCGTGGCCAGACAGTTGGGGATTATCACCATGGTGGCTCCTAGAAAAGTCACGAGGATAACCCCCAAGGTGGAGCGGCAGTCGAGGCTGTTGGCGCCGCGGGACGTTGACCGGATGAAGAAGTATCGCATGGCGGCCATGATGACCCCCAGCCAGATGGAGGAGGTGTGGGAAATCAAGGTCATGTTGACGTGGATGGCCATGAATCGGTTCCAGTGTAGGCTTGACTGGCTGTGGGAAGAGAGAGATATAAATGGGCAGAGGTTAGTGTGTGGGTCATTCCAGCTGTTGCTCATGTGTAAGCTTATCTGGCTGCAAAAAAAAAAAAAAACAGACTTTATTTGTTCGTCTAAATGATGACGTGAAGGCTTGTCTGGTTACACACACACACACACACACACACTCTCTCTCTCTCTCTCTCTCTCTCACAGAGAGAGAGAAAGAGAGAGAGAGTTAGAGAGGGACGAAGAGAGAGAAGAGATAGAAAGAGCGAATCAATGAGAGAGAGAGGGCGAGACAGAGAGAAGAGAGAGAGAGAGAGAGAGAGAGAGAGAGAAAGAGAAAGAGAGAGAGAGGCAGCGAAAATCGCGAAAATAGAGATAGATAGATAGATAGAGAGAGAGAGAGAGAGAGAGAGAGAGAGCGAAGAGAGAGAGAGAGAGAGAGAGAGAGAGAGAGAGAGAGAGAGAGAGACAGAGGCAGACAACATATTTCAAGAGGAAACAATAGATCAAAACAGCATTACCTTGATGTACTGGTGGGGTCGGATAATCTAATCAAATAACGAAAAGATAAAAACGATTTCAGACGTTGAGTTGAAAGACATAACAAGATAGACGGGGGGTGTCTTCCTGCCATATCTGCCGTGTAAATATGTTCAGCTTTATTCAGAGCTGTCCCCGCTTACATGTAAGAGTTGTGGGAGGGTTGGAACATTTGCATAGCGGCATTTCTGGAAGTTCTCCTATATGTCTCAGCCCTTAATTGGGTACCAGGTAAAGTCATGGGAAGTAAAGACGGCCGGGGTGATAATGACCACATCGTAGGTCGTGTGCCGATCGATCTCTATAAATTTGATTGCAGCACCATATGGAGGATTGGTGTCTGGTGTGAAAGGCGTTCTTGACCGGACTGATTGTATCATATGACCGGACTGATTGTATCATATGACCGGACTGATTGTATCATTTGACCGGACTGATTGTATGAGTCAAATATGAGGGCGCTGGGACGTTCCAAGGGGGTTGTGGTGGCTTCAAGTGCAGTTAGGGAGGGGGAATGAAAATAGGGAAGCTGGAGAAAGTGAGACAGACAGACAGACAGACAGATGGAGCATTTTCATAAACCAGTTGTACCAGTTTGATTCAAGTGAAACTTATTTAATGTTCAAAATAAACAAAACATTGCTATAACCAGGCTTATTTTTCCGGCGGTAGGCAAAAGAAAACGCAAAAAATACACGTTTTTTTTTAAGCAAAAATAGAATAGATACACTTTTTAGTGAGTAACAGCACCTTTTTGTTTTTGAAAAACACTATGGTAACAGCACTTCAGATGCATTTTTGTGTGGGTGAAAACAGTTATAACCAATAAGGCTCATCTTTCTCATTAACGTTAATTTAAAGGTTATTTTTGGGTTTTGTTAATTTTTCCAATCTTTCAAAAATGAGCTGAAATTGAGCTGAAATGTTTGCAAGCAGCCGTTAATCGCATATATTTATTTTTAAATACAAGACTTTCTGTTCGAGTGAAATAAACAGACACTTCAGCAAGTTAGCAAAACTGAGACAGGGAGTCTCTCAGAGCAGTGTGAAAGTGCCCAACATTATCCTGGAAGACGTAATTGACATTACGAAATATCGTCGTCGACTCCGGCTCTGCAAAGTTTGGTGTTGTTGTTGTTGTTGTTGTTGTCTATCCAGCAGCGCATGAGCTTTCGCCCTTTGGCCCAATGCCACGTAGTGGAATTTGCATGTTTTCACAAGCTGTGCCTTTCCTCCGTACAAGGTGTTCCACCTGTCTGATCTAGTTTGGTGAAATACTCATGCATGGTGAGGCAAGCGTGGTTAGGACCTTGGGGGAGAGCGTCTTCAATCTGGTAATCTAGTAATTTTAATTTCAGCTTCATAGCAAACGGGTCACCCCAACTTTGCTCCGCTCATTTGCCAACGAAAAACACACAGAATGTTTATCACAGTCCCTTGTGGAAATATTGACAAACTGCTCTCTCAGCAAATCTAACATACACTCGCATTAAAAGCATATGGTAGCCATCCGAAGTGCTAACACAAACAGTCCGACGTTAGAAATGCAGTTCATCATTGATGGTAGCAGAAGTCATTAAAAGTTCAGCAGCTGCACACGCTACCAATTTTAATCAAATAATGGCCCCACCAATATTGTGACAACCAGCATTGCGCCATTTTCTGAATCTACAAATCACAACACCACGTTGGTCACAGTAGAAAAACATTCCAAATGAAATCCGCAGCTCACAGTTTCACGCCATGCACTCAACTCAGAGGCTGGGCAACGAAACTATATACTTCCAGTCTACAAATGGAGCAAAAAAGCAACGGCCACAGTCTGGCAGAAGGAAAAAAAAATTTGCCTCGGCTCAAAACAAAGGCAGTGCCTAGTGTTCATTTTGACCTGAAGCATTATGTGAGGGTTAATAAACTGTCACCCCAGCAGTACCCTACTATTAGGACATTACATCCACCAGCAAGCCTCGCCCCAACAACGACCTGACTGCCTCCGTTAACGACTGTTCACCCAACAGCCATGCAGTTCTTTGGCACGAAGGAGACACCTTGAACTTGGGTTTCGGACTGCCGACTCCCTACACGAAGATATATGTGTGCTACTGGTGTCCCGTAGCCAAAATACTATCTCACTGTATTACTAAAATTCAGCACGCATTCTCAAACGCGCAGTAGTTAAAGAAAACACACATACACACACACATACATATACATACACTCATTACCTGCCACCCGCTTGCTTGCTGGTGCAGCACACATGACTATATATTTATATAAGTATATAAATATTTATACTTATTCAATTCGAAGGTCATCCGTGTGGGTTCCGGGCGCTATTATAAGGAAAAGAAAAATAGACCCACTGCCTAACCACAAACATGTCGTAAGAGTCGACTAACTGGGAGCTTCCTTCGAAGTCGGAGTGCATTGGCCTGGGAAGCAAGAAACCAACAGTCTGCACACAAATGTGTCAGATCTTTCAAACGGATGCACACGCGACACTCAGATTCTGGAACAGGACTGAAGTCCGGAAGTGGACGAACAACCAGAACCTTTCACCAGAGTTTGCAGCTATTGAGCGCAAAGAAGAAGAAGAAGAAGAAGAAGAAGAAGAAGAAGAAGAATAAGAAGAAGAAGAAAAAGAAGAAGAAGAAGAAGAAGAAGAAGAATAAGAAGAAGAATAAGAAGAAGAAGAAGAAGAAGAAGAAGAAGAAGAAGAAGAAGAAGAAGAAGAAGAAGAAGAAGAAGAAGAAGAAGAAGAAGAAGAAGAAGAAGGTGCGAATGGTTTTCCAGTCTGGTGAGAGTTATGCAGCACGGAGTAGCGAGGGGTTCTGGTCGATAGTCGACGCTCAAAAGAAAGGCAAGACGGACATTTTATCAGAATGGTACTCGCACCATTGGAAATGGAACTCTGTGTTGACTGCTGAAGAGGGGGAAGGAGCGCTTATGGAGTGCTGTCATGCCGATTCTTGAATCAACTCAACGCAACTCTCCAACTGCATACACGCAAAAGAGCTTTACATTTGCTGATTAGACAGCTATTGTTGTCCTGGATTCCTTGAAGTATCAAACCCTCAGTTTGAAAAGAACAAAGGGCTTCCAAGCCACCTGCTGAACAATAAATTTCAAGAGAGAGAGATAAAACAAAAAGTCAAGAGCATGCATACATCATCTTGTCAGATAAACGTTGACACAACATGCGAATATAGAAACTGACACATGGATGTGTGAAGCTCTCAAACCAGAACGAACGAAAGAACTTTAGTTTCAAATGGTCACAGATTAGGCACGCAGGTCAGCCTTACATTCGGCCCTTCCGAACACCCACCTTTCACACAGCAGTTGTATTTTTTCAATAGAGCATGTTATGTTCATGCAATAATAAGCATATTATGAATATCAAGTCAAAACCATAAGTTGGGTGGTAAAATAGGTGCGTACGCTCAGGCTAGCACACACACCCACATACACACGCAAACCCATTCACTCACACACACACACATGAGCCCAAGACACACATACATACACACACATCCACATACACACATACATACATACATACATACATACATACATACATACATACATACATACATACATACATACATACATACATACATACATACATACATACATACATACATACATACATACACACACACACACATACATACATACATACATACATACATACATACATACATACATACATACATACATACATACATACATACATACATACATACACATAAATGCGTACATAAATACACACATACACACACACACATGAAACCAGTCTCACATACACAGACACAGTCTGACAAACTCACAATCCAAGACACACACGCAAACAAAACAGACACATACATAGAGACACACACACACTAACACACACACAACCGCAGAAAAGAGACCTACAAATACACACACACATACATAAACCCACACATACACTAACACACAGCCAGAGCCACACACACACACGCAGCCAGAGACACAAATACATAGACTCACACAGGGACACGTGCAACACTCACACATACACAGAGAGACACTCAGACACACATACGCACACAGACAAACAAACCGGTACAAACAGAAACACACGCACACGCAGACTTTATCAAATAGACACACCTATAGAGACATACACAGATACACACAAAGCCACACACACAGGCACAGATACACAAACACGCAGACACACACGGACACACATAGACATACACACACAAGCAAACACACCCACAAACGTACAAACACACACAGCCATAAACAAATAGACATACACATACATATATTTACAACACTCACACAGACGCACACACAGATACGCACACTGTCACACACGCAGATATACAGGCACA